ACGCAGTGCCTTTTTTGCTTTCCCTACCAGTGTATGTATAGTCAATCTACTTGACGATTTTATTTCATGTATTCATTTCCATCGTAAGTCGTTTCTCAGCTCTGATCTGTTCAGTTTTCTCAGCAATTTAGTGTAGGATAGATGAAGTGAAGGGTATATTCGCGGATATACATGCGTTAATAAACGTATGTAAAACCACGTGAGAGGTATATGTTGATTAATTTTTTACTGTTCCGTATCGTAATAAAATAACTAGCTCATGATAGAGAGCGGAGGTGTCAAAGTTTATATGATCTATAGTCGTTTTCTGGTTACACAAAGGAGCAACATATGGATACAGTCTGATGTCGAAACACAGATTCGTCTGTAATTTTTCAAAGCTGTATCCTAATAAGGTCTCGCTTTAACTATATCTATTTCCCTTTGACATACGAGGGATGTCTTTTGAGTTTTGTTTATGGAAATAAAACAACACGGTAGGTAGTATTAAATGACTTTATTGTTTTTAATTTTCGGGAAAGTAGGGAAATCGTTAGGACTTATACGTAGATCGGGCTATATGGAGGATGGTCCAATAATTCCACGTTTTCTTCCTTTAAATACTGCCTTGTTTTTTGGGCTGTGTGCGAGCTTGCTTTGTCTTGGTGGAGGATGATTCTTCTTTCGGGGTTGATTTTTCGAAGCTCGGTAATGACTTTTGGCAAACAAATAGTGATATACCAATCCGCAGTAACAGTTCTTTGCTCATTAAGAGGAATTGTTGCAATATGACCCGTTTTTGACACAAATGTCGCGACCATCTTTTTAGAAACACACGGATGACTTTTGTTGGATTTTTTTCACCTTGGAACATCCAAACAGCCGTCTGTTGTTTATTTTCTGGTTCATAACAGTAAATCCAGGATTCATCACCACTAACAATGCTGTACACATTTTCTAAGTTTCCGGAATTAAAACGGTCAAGCGTTTTTTGACACCAATTAAACCTGGCTGCTTTCTGCTCTTCAATCAACAGGTGGGGTATCCAACGAGAAACAAATTTTCTTACTCCTGATTCTTCATGTAAAATTTTTTGAATTGAGATCTTTGAGGTCTTCAAGGACGCCTCAATCTCGCGATGTGTCACATGTCTATCTTCAATGATGAGTTTGCGCACAGCATCGACGTTTTCCGGGGTGCACCCACCCTGGGATCGTCGCTAAACTTTGAATTTAAGTTTACTAAAGAGTGAGGTTAAGATTCAGTACTGACATTCGATCCGCGCGGCCTACTATGTTTCTATATGCAGAACTTAATAGACATCCCTCGTATTAACTTATCAGTTATTAGTCTCAAATGCGATTGCAGAGATTGCAGAATAACTGTTGACGTTTAGTCTGTAACTTAAGTAAATTTGACCACATATCTAATAGTTTCAGGCTTTTTCAATGGTCTAATATCAATTCTCTATTCAAATATTTTTACCCAACAACATTGAATCGTGCATTATATTCTAAGAATCTTGTATATTTAGTAGAAAAGCTGGTTCCTAGGTCAAGTATACACAATGTCAATATAAGACATCAAAACCATTTTACAATGTATATGTAATCACCCTTTTATAGATCATTCACGTATAATACAGTGTCTCTCTTTAACATCTATAGCAGGAATATTGATATATCAAATATACTAAGTGACATATAAATCCGAACACCCAGTTTAAATAGTTTAATAATTAATTAATAAAATTTTGTATAAGTACTCAATGAAGCATAATAAGTAAATGATAAAAATTTCAAAATGATTGCACTGCTTTAAAACCCTTTGACCTTTAATAATGTGTGGATGCACCCTGATGTGCTACGCATTCGCCAACGCGCCTAGTCATGCTTCTGATCAGGTGGTCAATGTCCTCCTGTGGTATCTCATTCCAGGCAACCACCAACTCCTCTCGAAGTGCTTCTAGAGTCTGAGGAGGACGTTGCAAATTGAGCAATCTCCTACCCATCATATCCCACACGTGCTCAATTGGGGATAAGTCGGGAGATCTTGGTGGCCATGGTAACAATGTGACATCATTATGTTGAAAGAAGTCTATTGTGACTCTTGCAACATGTGGTCGGGCATTATCTTGTTGGAAAGTTGGATCTGCCAGGGTGTCACGATAGGGTAGAAGATGGGGTTCTAGAACTTCGTGGATATAACGCTGCGCGTTCATGTTACCTCTGATGAAGATTAAAGGTGACCTGGAACCATAAGCCATAGCACCCCAAACCATAACTCCAACAGTGTGATGAACATGTCTTTCAACAAAAAACTGTGGATTCCTCCTTTCACCACGTCGCCTTCTAACCCTGGCACGACCATCGTGCATGTCTAAACAAAATCCAGACTCGTCACTAAAGACAATACTGTTCCATTCCTGATCCCAGAGTGACCGTTGTCTGCACCACTAAAGGCGATTACGTCGGTGTTCTCGAGTTAAAGGGAGGACCCAGTTTGGCCGGTATGAAAACAAGCCAAAACTTCTCATTCGTCGGTAAACACTTCGCATGCCAATAGGTCTTCCGTGTTCTGCAAACCATTCATTTGCAATGGACCTGGTAGTGGAGAAACGGTCCCTTAAGGCCAATAATCTTAGGCGGCGATCTTCACGGTCTGTTGTTCTACGGCGGCGTCCAGTGCTCCTTGCTCTTTGCGTACGGCCTTCTCGAAGCCATGCCAGACAACACCTAACCACAGTGTCTACACTTCTTTGCACTCTAACTGCAATTGCCCGAAAAGAAAGTCCAGCTTCCCGAAGTCCCACTATACGGCCCCTATCAAACTCACTAAGTTGACGAAATCGTACAGGTCTCCGTACTCTAGGCATCGTAACCGATCGTAAAGGATATCAAGAACCAAAATCCGCCAACGTTGATTCTTTACTGCGGCTGAAATATTCATTTTTAGAGCGTTAGTGAATTAAAAAAAAGCAGTATAAAAACCGGAATATCCAACTGATAAGGCTGAACATTTTTTCACTTGTTATTTACAGTAAGATAAATACATTCACCAACTTTTATTAAAATAAAACCATTTAAACTGGGTGTTCGGATTTATATGTCACTTAGTATACAAATTCAGCATAGGATCAATGAATAAATGCCCTGTGATCAATTACCATTATGTTCTTTTAGTTCATAGACATACAATCGTTTACCGTATATGTAAAATACCATATTTATATGTCAAATTAGCTTTAGCTTTAGTCTTTAGAAAGGTTGAGTGTAAGAATAGCTGTGCTAAACTCCGCCAATAAAGCCGTTTATTATTATTATTAATTATTACGTCACAGTTTTCGTGCCAAATTCTACGTTTAAGTTTTGCAACTTGCCGTTCACAGAAAGAAGTGCAGATATTCAAAACACAAAGTATTGAGATTCCGTCGCAATATTTTTTTTGAAAAGTCTCCTTTAGATAAAACTGAAAAATTTGGACAAAAAGTGCAAAATTAATTTGAGATAATGTGCAGGACCTTAAAATGAACTCTGAGCTTTTTAGGTTTCATTAGAATATTGATCAGTTAACCACCACAATAATGACGTATGCAGGAAATCAACAACACGGTATGTGTATGTCAACTACTGAAACAAATGAAATGAAACGTAAAATCAACCTAATTTGAGAAACAGAACACAAATTGGCAATGCATGTTAGATACGGTGCTTGTAAACAATTATGGCTATGTTTTACATACAGTAATTGATTTTTCTTAAAATTCATTTACAAGATGACACCACAGTTCATAAAAAAATGTTTTAAGCTTCCTATCATGAGGAAGTCCGTGGACAGAAGCGTCTTGCCGTTAAACTGATGGGTCGATTATTTAAAATATAACGAAATTCATCCAGAACCCGACCTTGACTAACGCCAAGGACAAAACATAGCATGGCTTTTGCTAGAACAAAGCCATCTTCTAGATCCCATTTTTCCATGAAAATATGAAACAACCATACCATGATACATTATTTATAACTTTATAAACAAACAGTTATTGTATTGGAGGATAATAAACAATTTTTTGCTCCTTCTGAAAACAGTCGCATGACTCATGATTCATTCGCGCTTTTCAACACACTATAACCGTATGTAACGCTTTGATTTATTTCTTGTTTGTTACACCTGTTCAAGAAGTGCTTCATCAAGAAGCTGTACAATGGCATTCCAATTGTTTAATTTGTGTTGAAAGCAACCGTAATAAATTTATCGCAGCTATAACAACTACTTACATACAAGAAAAATGCAAGTTACTGTGGGAATTCCTCAGGGATCTGTCTTAGGGCCACACGTGTTCCTCAATCAGACTAGAGAAAAGCGCCCAAATCCGGATCACAATTTTGTTATTGATTAATGAACCTACACTATCGTTCAAAAGTATTTGAACCCCAGAAAATAATGAGACTGATGGAAGTTATTAAAGAACGTACTATTTTTATTTGAAAAAATGGTGCCACTAATCCCCGCCACTGGTGCACCTTAATTTCAAGTAAAGACTTTTGAATGTGGACAATATGTAGGTAAATCCACATATCAAATTTTAGCTCTTTCCAGTTGACGGATTAAAATATATAAAAAAAAAAATTTATATTTAGACTTCAACACCCTGTATCTTTTTAATGGGAGACCTCCTTAAGACGCGGCCCTGTGTATGATGTTCAATTTTTGGTCACGACTTGTGAATGACCCTGCATAAATCGTTTAGTTTTTTTTTCGTACACTCATACGTGTATGTACACAATGTTTAATTTTTGTTAAAATTTTTTTCAATATTTTAGTGCTGGTTATTTTCAAGGCTATGCCTTACTATTGAGGTATGAATATTTATCAAATTTTTAGTCTTTTATACATCTTGCATTGTTATGGGGGTTAGTTGCTAAAATACATATAGTATCTAAATCTCGCCTCCTGTAACGTTATTAAAAATAAAAAAAAACGACTGAGTCAATCTACTAGACAGTATTTTTCTTTTGTTTCAGTGTGGGACGCGACAGCCAAATCCCCAACAGGAGTGCTCAGAGGCAGCGTCTTCCAAATGGGGCACTTCGAGCAATGCCTCTCGGCGCGGGCTCCGTTTCCCGCCAAATATTGCCTGGCGACGCTCACGGCGAATGTTCCAGAGCCCAGCCCGCCCAGGAAAGATTTCCTTTCCCTAGATTTCGATCCGCAAGGCTCGGTATTTCATAGACTGTATGTAAGTTGAAATTGTAACCACTTATTAGCTAACCGATTAGAGACAACTGACGCCTCTGTTCGTTTGTTCTTCCAAGCTGCTTGATGGCCATCTGGCGGCGTTCAAGTGAAATTAACCGGATTGGTAAGGTATCTCAAATCGTTTTCCTAAACCAGGGTCCAACGGCTGGTTCAACAAATCGTGTGACACTGCTCGCCAGCAGAAGATCAATGCCCACAGAACCTACTTACAAAACCCCACTGTAGAGAACAGACAAGCCGACGGACGTCGAGTCCAGAAACAAATATAACGAAGCGGTTCGCAATGCCAAAAACCAACATGATATAAAAGTTAGGCACAGGGTAATGTCGCAGCGCAATGGCAGTCGGTCTTTCTGGACGCTGGCCAAGCAGATTGAAAAGAACTTCTCACACAGTAGCCTTCCACCACTTACGTGTCAGGATGGAACTATTGTATTCGACTCAAAGGCCAAGGCGGAAGTGCTAGCCAAGATCTTTGCTGCCAACTCCACCATGGACGTCCCCACCAACGCCCAAGTGCCGTCAATTCAAAGGGTTCCCCACACTATGCGGGAGGTAACATTCAGGCATAAGACCGTAAGAAGAGTGCTCTTGTCGCTCGACATCAACAAAGCTTCTGGTCCGGACTTGATTCCTGTCATTGTACTGAAGAGATGTGCAGCGGAGCTTGCTCCAGTTCTTTGGCGTCTCTTCCAGATATCTTATGAATCCGGCACCTTCCCAGAAAACTGGAAATTTGCTCATGTACAGCCCATTCCAAAAAAAGGATCTAAAACCGACCCTTACAACTACAGGCCTATAGCTCTGCTTTCTGTTATAAGTAAAGTGATGGAGAGGTGCATAAATCGCGAGCTTCTGGACTACCTCGAGCGTCACAGCTTGATTTAGCGACAGGCAGTACGGTTTCCGGCACCAACGATCCACAGGGGACCTCCTAGCTTACGTCATGCAACTGTGGAGTAAACTCATCCAGTCTCATGGTGAGGCTCATGTCGTTGCTCTTGACATCAAGAAAGCGTTCGATCAGCTGTGGCACGCTGCCCTCTTAAGCAAACTTCCATCCTACGGCCTCCCAGAAAAGCTTTGCAGATGGGTGGCTGACTTTATCTCTGGCCGCAAGATATCCGTCGTAATTGACGGATTCTCCTCTTCATCCCACAACGTCAACGCGGGTGTTCCCCAGCGATCGGTCTTGGCTCCAACACTGTTTCTCTTACATATCAACGACCTCCTTTCCTGCACGATCAACCCAATCCACAGCTTCGCTGATGACAGCACTCTACATGCAGGAATTCAGACTGACAAGCCGATCTTTGCCGCTGAGCTGGAAAAAAGAAGACTAGCGACGACTTCTTCTCTGACAAGAGACCTGGAGGCTATCACTGCTTGGGGACGCAACAATCTTGTACAGTTCAATGCTTCCAAAACACAGTGTACTTTGACGAACAAAAAGCGTCCTAGCACTCATACAGTTTCGATGGACGGTCGAGTTCTACCAAAGAGCCATTCATTTCGGCTGGTCGGAGTCAAGATCACCGAGGACCTGATCTGGCACGAACACATCTCTTCAATAGCTGCAGCTGCTGGGAAAAAGCTAGGCTATTTGTTTAGGGCTAAGAAGTACTTTTCTCCGCATGACCTTCTCACTCTATACAAGGCCCAGATAAGGCCTAGCCTCGAGTATTGCTCACACATTTGGGGTGCTGCCGCCCCGACTACATTGTCCATGCTCGATGCTGTCCAGAGGAGGGCGGTCCGACTGATCGATGACTCTTCTCTAACAGACAGTCTCGGGACTCTTTCGCACCGGCGGGCCGTCGGCGATCTAGCTCTTTTCTATCGCTACACCAACGGGCTTTGCTCCTCAGAGCTCTCTTCTATGATGCCGCCGCGCGATGTGCCTGCCAGACAGACCCGCCTGACTTCTTCGTCCCATCCTGACCGTGTCAAACTTCGTACATCCAGAACTGGCCGATACGACCGCTCCTTTGTCCCGAGGGTGTCTAGATTGTGGAACAATCTACGGGAGGAAGCTTTTCCCAGTTCTGCTGACCTTGGGCAGTTCAAAAATCGTATTAACAAAGTTTCTTTGGGATCATCATAGCAGCCGCGGTGTTCCGGCATTTAGGCTTTTGCCTGCGCGGCTGTTTCGATATAAAAAAAAAAGTATATAGATTTCTCTCCTCGCTCTCGCGCGGTGGTACCGTGGTGAGTGCACATGAGGCAGCGTGGTGCAACTGGAATATATTTTGTAATGATACATTTTTCGAATAATTCAATAATTATTAATTTATAATTTCTATCATTTTAACAGACATTTATCGGTTCCATGTTTTTCCTGACACCAGTCTATAAGACCCTGTATAACTGATTTTGTACGGACACAGAGCAAAGTAAAAAACTTTGTTGTTTGAATATCATACCTCTTATAGGTTTGTTCTGCATAACATACAAGGTTTGTCCGGAAAGCAATAGGACGCGCGCACCGACTGGATTCGGTAGAGGGCGTTCCTAGCTAACGAATGAGCGGCTGGAAAATTTGAACATGTATGAAAGTGACCCTCAGTTTTTGAATAACGTAATCACAGGTGACGAGCATGATCCCGAGACAAAGAGGCAATCTTCCGAGTGGCACACGACGGCGTCTCCTCGCCCAAAAAAGGGAAGAATGAGCAAATCCAAAGTGAAAACGATGCTCATTGTCTTTTTCGACATCAAAGGCATCGTCCACCATGAATTTGTTCCTCCTGGACAAACCGTCAACGCCAAGTTTTACGTGGAATGCCTTCCGTGACGGCTTCAATGCTTGGAGATCGTGCTGGCAGCGCTGCATCGACGCAGAAGGAGCCTATTTATTGAAAGTTTTTAAAGAATTGTAACGATTGGCTCAAAAATTTTTTTTAAATCGACTCAGTCCTATTACTTTCCGGACAAACCCTGTATAGCCGATAGATCGAATTTATGATGATCCTGATGGTGATCATGGTTCCGTATTTTTCCCACACTAAATGATGCGGAAAGCTGTGTCCGGCACTCGGTTCTCTAGAAGAGATTCCAAGGCCGCGTTTTGGTGGCCGAAAATGTGATTCGCTTAAAAGTTTGCTAATTAAAATTATATAAACAAAGAGAATCGCAAAAACGCTATGGCTAATCGGTTAAACTGGTTTTGCGCATTGGCACACAACATTTTAACCGAAAACATAGGGAGTTATCGTCAGCAACACTATTGATACTGAGTACTTCAAAAAACAATTTTGAAGTGCAATGTGTTCATTGACTTTCTCAAATTTCAACGTACGGAATCTGACCATCAACTTTCCTGACAATTTCCTGTAATTTTTGTTTAAGATTTATACTAAGTGACATATAAATCCGAACACCCAGTTTAAATTGTTTTATTTTATTAAAATTTTGTATAAGTACTCAATGAAGCATAATAAGTAAATGATAAAAATTTCAAAATGATTGCACTGCTTTAAAGCCCTTTGACCTTTAATAACGCGCCTAGGCATGCTTCTGATCAGGTGGTCAATGTCCTCCTGTGGTATCTGATTCCAGGCAACCACCAACTCCTCTCGGAGTGCTTCTAGAGTCTGAGGAGGACGTTGCAAATTGAACAATCTCCTACCCATCATATCCCACACGTGCTCAATTGGGGATAAATCGGGAGATCTTGGTGGCCATGGTAACAATGTGACATCATTATGTTGAAAGAAGTCTATTGTGACTCTTGCAACATGTGGTCGGGCATTATTTTGTTGGAAAGTTGGATCTGCCAGGGTGTCAAGATAGGGTAAAAGATGGGGTTCTAAAACTTCGAGGATATAACGCTGCGCGTTCATGTTACCTCTGATGGAGATTAAAGGTCACCTGGAACCATAAGCTATAGCACCCCAAACCATAACTCCAACAGTGTGATGAACATGTCTTTCAACAAAAAACTGTGGATTCCTCCTTTCACCACGTCGCCTTCTAACCCTGGCACGACCATCGTGCATGCCTAAACAAAATCGAGACTCGTCACTAAAGACAATACTGTTCCATTCCTGATCCCAGAGTGACCGTTGTCTGCACCACTCAAGGCGATTACGTCGGTGTTCTCGAGTTAAAGGGAGGACCCAGTGTGGCCGGTATGAAAACAAGCCAAAACTTCTCATTCGTCGGTAAACACTTCGCATGCCAATAGGTCTTCCGTGTTCTGCAAACCATCCATTTGCAATGGACCTGGTAGTGGAGAAACGGTCCCTTAAGGCCAATAATCTTAGGCGGCGATCTTCACGGTCTGTTGTTCTACGGCGGCGTCCAGTGCCCCTTGCTCTTTGCGTACGGCCTTCTCGAAGCCATGCCTGACAACACCTAACCACAGTGTCTACACTTCTTTGCACTTTAACTGCAATTGCCCGAAAAGAAGGTCCAGCTTCCCGAAGTCCCACTATACGGCCCCTATCAAACTCACTAAGTTGACGAAATCGTACAGGTCTCCGTAATCTAGGCATCGTAACCGATCGTAAAGGATGTCAAGAACAAAAATCCGCCAACGTTGATTCTTTACTGCGGCTGAAATATTCAGTTTTAGAGCGTTAGTGAATTAAAAAAAGCAGCATTTTTTTCACTTGTTATTTACAGTAAGATAAATACATTCACCAACTTTTATTAAAATAAAACCATTTAAACTGGGTGTTCGGATTTATATGTCACTTAGTATATTTAGCACTAATGATACAATGTCAATTATTCGTTTACACATTTTTTAAGTCAATTTTGTGTTGTTTTACATTCTTCTCTGTTAAAATTACATCATTTTGCATTTTGAGTGTTCATAAAGTAGTTTTTGAATTTCACATCGAACATTTTAATTTTAATTGTTCAGGTTGTTAAATTCAGATGATCCCTTTTGGAATATGTACTTGTTATTCTCTCTCTGGCTGCGTAGTTATGATAATGACTATTTAATTTTGTGAAGTTTTCTAGATGTGGTGGTAATAAATAATGTTTTAATTTGAATATGAAAATGAGAATCAAATAACATCTACAATTTTTTACATTCAACCATTTAAGTCATTCTAACATAGACTTAATCTTAGTATATTGATTTGTTTTTATTTAAAATCGTCCTCGTTAATTTATAATTCTGAAAATATGTTTTCATTTGCTGTAAGCAAGATAGTTGCACAATATAAGAAATGAGGAAGAGTTATAGTGTTTGTTATACATGATTTTTTTGGAATACATACTGGAATTATTGGAAACTCTATAGAAGTAATTTATCTTTTTTGGTATATTTGGAATAATGTACTCATAATTATTTTGTAACTAAAGTTTACTATCCACATACCCAGATATTTGAATGATTCCATTTTTTCATCATTAATTACGAGCAGAATTGTACGTAAACGTTTCCCTATACTGAATATCATTCTTATTTCATATTTAATTCCAGAAATACGACGATGTCTCGCAACAAGCTAGAAACTCAATCAAGATGGGCTGGTGTATTCCTTCCTCGTGTTCTATTTTGGACTTGGAGGAGTATCTGAACCAGTATTTGAATAGAGTAGATAACAGTTTGAAAAGACAGAACGTCACGTACACAGCGCAGTTTCACGAGGAGCTTTGTAATACCAAAGCGGAATCCCAGTACTTTGATAATGCTGATATCTCCTTTTGGTAAGTCGGAAACACGTTATACAACGGTATTTTTAGATTTTTTCGAAATATTTTCCACGCTGTTTTTTTCTGCATGTTTAGATAAGGCATTCAATTTCATATAAATCGTCTCTTATAAGAAACTTTCCTCACATCCATGTATACTAAGTGACATATAAATCCGAACACCCAGTTTAAATGGTTTTATTTTAATAAAATTTTGTATTTAATGAAGCATAATAAGTTAATGATAAAAATTTCAAAATGATTGCACTGCTTTAAAGCCCTTTGACCTTTAATAAATTGTGGATGCACCGTGATGTGCTACGCATTCTCCAACGCGCCTAGGCATTGATTTAAAACTACCTGCCGGGTTGTTTTATTTCCATATGCAAAACTTAAAAGACATCCCTCGTATATTTAATTCTTTTTTCAGCCTCCTTACTGTGATACTGATCTTTATGGTCTTCTTGGCGACAGCTTACGACTACATAAGCAGCTACCAGACCAAAGACGAGAAGCCTTTAAAAAGTGAGTATGTGAGTATTCGTTTCTGCTGATACTTACGACAAAAGATGAGTCAGTGACTCACTATCTCCTAACAAATCTATTTACGCGTACGAACAAAGTACTAAAACAGCTTTTCGGAGCTGCATCAAATGAATGGAAATAGTTATTTCCCTACGAGGTTTGTAAATTAAGTAACGAGACAGACCTTTTCATTTTTTTGTTCAAATTTAATTACTCACTGCTCATAGCAGTGCTGGAGCTACGTTTGAGTGTTTTCGGCTGTCCCAAAATGAGTTCGCTGGGTGACTTTTCAACTTCGGAAAGAGAAAAAAGTCACGAGGACTCGGAGATCCATCCAGCCGATTTGTATAACGCTCTGTATACGCTTTCGTTTTGTGCATCCGTACAAGTCGAGATTTTTTTACAGGGTCTAGACCTACCAAATTGCTAATGGCGTTTTCAGCAAGAGAGAACTTCCACGAACTGAACAAGACCGAGGACTCCAATCCAGCTCTGGGAATATTGTATGGGATGAGGACGATATGTATTCTGGCCATCATCATGGATCACAGATTTGGAACTTTCATCTCTGCCGCTATTCTGAACTTCGACTATTTAGAATCGGTGAGTTTTCGTTGGCATATTTATTCAGGGTGTTTCAGTTTGTTGTTGCATAACTTTAAGATTCGATAGAACTTTTAAAATTAATGCATAAAACATGGGTCGAAAAATGCGTGGCTTCCGAAATACAGGGTGTTTAAATTTACTTTCTAAAATAGTTTTTTTTAAATATTTCGAACAATATTTGATATATAACAGTGAAAATCGGTATACAAGGGTTTTTTGGTACGACAAAACGAAACATGGGCATAGTTAACTGTAGCCGCTAGAGGGCGCTCTCTACTGTACCTGTAGTGTATTAAAATGACCGAACATTTTTTCTTAGTGCAATTTTTTGCTTTTTGAATAAAAAAACTGATTCCTCGCACTTTTCAACATAAAAAAGCTCTCCTATGAGTTTTCGTTATAGTTAGCCGTTTTTGAGATATTTCGATTTTTAAGGTTCGATGCATTTTTAATTATTTATGGGAAAATAATATTTTTTTTACTTTTTCGATTTGGGCATTACAAGTAACTAAGATGATCGTTTAGATTGTGTTTTTAAACACAGCAATAATTCCTAACTCCAAATAAACACAAAAAGCAGAATATTAATTTGTTTAATTTTCCAATATTATTTTTAACAAATTAAATTAATTATTTACAACTAAAATGCTATTGGATAGTTAGGACTTACATACACAATCTAAAGTAGTTGCTCGAAATGTAAACCCAATTGTTCAATACACAATTCACATCTACGAATGATCGAACGTGGTATAGCATTAATCAAATAAGGCATTATTTCATCACATGCATTCCTGATTCTGTCTATTAGCATATCTCTTGTGGTTACGGGAGTCTGGTACACTTTTTCTTTTAGAAATCCCCGCACAAAGAAATCTAATGGATTTAGGTCAGGGGATCGTGGAGGCCAGGCGACTGGTCCTCCACGGCCGATCCATCTTTCTGGATAATTTTCGTCTCGCCAGTTTCTAACTATTCTCGAATAATGAGCTGGACAACCATCAAGCTGGAATCAGGCCAATCTTCTTAAATCTAACATAACATCATCCCACATATTTGCATGTTCAGCCTTTACGATTACGGTAGATACCAATCCACATGTTCACACTAAATTCATGCTGAAAATTTCTTTCCCGAACTGCATGCGGATTTTCATGCGACCAAATATGTTGATTATGAAAATTTACCACTCCACGTCTAGTGAAGCATGACTCATCGGTCCATAAAACGTTACTTAAAAACTCCCTATTATTATCAGTTCTATCAAGAATCCACTGACAAAATGTGATTCTTCGTTCTCCGTCCCCTGGCTGTAGTCTTTGCACAGGTTGCAAATGGTAAGGACGTCTATGGTCATTTCTAAGAACACGGTGAACATGGCTTGCTGAAAGTCCCAAGGCACCAGAAACTCTCCTAACACTTGTGGTCGGATCTCTATCAAACTCACGCAGAATCATACGGGTAAATCTGCGCTGACGAACATTTATGTTTTGATCCCTTTGGAGATTTCCAAAACCATTTTCAATTATTTGGCGATGCAGTCTTACAAATACTGAGCGAGTTGGATGTCGTCTGTTTGGAAATCTTCGTGCGTATTCTCTAGCTGCTTCTGCTGCGTTTCCATTTACAAAGCCATACACAAAATGAATATCCGCTAACTCTTGATTGGAGAATAAAAATGGCATTTTTATAAAACTTACAAAAAAAAAACAGGTAAAAGAAACTAAATTTCGTGAATTCACAATTGCAAAAAAACGTTTCAGGTTTCAACAGACAACAAAACTAACTGTCAACTAATTGACGTTTAACCTTATTCTGCTTTCAATTTCAAAAATATTTGCAGGCACAGCCTACTTCTAAAAATTATCGAGACACTGACTTTTTAACGTTATTTTATCATAAATAATTAAAAATGCATCGAACCTTCAAAATCGAAATATCTCAAAAACGGCTAACTATAACGAAAATTCACAAGGGAGCTTTTTTAGGTTGAAAAGTGCGAAGAAACAGTTTTTTTATTCAAAAAGCAAAAAATTGCACTAAGAAATTTTTTTCGGTCATTTTAATACATTACAGGTACAGTAGAGAGCGCCCTCTAGCGGTTATAGTAAAACTATGCCCATGGTTCGTTTTGTCGTACCAAAAAAACCGTTGTATACCAATTTTTACTGTTATACATCAAATATTGTTCGAAATATTTAAAAAAAACTATTTTAGAAAGTAAATTTAAACACCCTGTATTTCGGAAGCCACGCATTTTTCGACCCATATTTATATAGACTTTATGCATTAATTTTAAAAGTTCTATCGGATCTTAAAGTTATGCAACAATAAACTGAAACACCTTGTATAACCTGTTCGAATATTTATTTTTGTCGTTTGCTAAATTTATTATAACTACTCATTCACCACTACGTTTATGGAACGTTCGTTTGAATTTACGGTATACGAGAACATTATCCATACCAAGGCACCGCACAGCCATATTTTAGCGCTACTTATACAGGGTGACTTCGAAGTTGAGTCATTTATTTTAACAGTGAGTAGATCTGATCAAAAGAAATGTTTTTTTCCTTTACCATTTTTCTGGTAAAATTAAAGTAACAAAGTTATAGCCCTTTGGAAGTTTGAGTACCGCCCTGTCTCAATAATAATAATATGTGCTCGTGTTCGGCAACAACGGATATAATCCGCCTTATCGGTTCATCGCATCGGAAACAAAAAAGCGAAAAAATTTGGAACGATGTTTTTACAATTATTTTATTCAGTTGTATACAGTCAGTGTCAGTCGGTAACGCGTGAGTGGATAGTGGTGTCCGTTGCGTGGCTCAAACGAAATAAAAAATGGCACATGTTTATGCGGATCGGTTTCCCAATCGAGTGCAACCAACCCCTCGTGCCTTTGTTAATGTAGTACAACGGGCTCGTGAATCAGGTGACTTAAGACCTCACAGGGGACGGCATGCCGGTGCTCCAAGACCTCACGATCAAATACAGGTCCGCACTGAAATACTTGTCGGGAGGATACTTTATAAAACAAGGTAACATTTTTTTTTCAATTTTTTTTTTATTTTTACACACATATTTTGGTTTATCTTCCTTCTACAATCATTATCTGAAAATTAATGACTCAACTTCAAAGTATAACGCTGCCAAATATTATAATGAATTTAGACATCGATATTCTCAATCTTGATTTTGGAATTTTTTCTATGCATCTTTTCGATCTTTGGACTGTTAAAAAGGGATATTTGAAATTTTTATAACTCAAATTATCGAATTTTTAACTTCCCGCAATAAATGACTTTCGGCTCGACCTCTCAAACTACCATAAACAGGGGCTTCTTCCACTGTCGTGTTCGATATACCTCGTTAGATAAATGGCTAAAACCTCCTCTTAGAATCCTGGAGATCATTGGTTTATACAGGGTATCCCGAAAAAAGTGTGCATTATTCTACCAGCGATTTCTAGAGCTTAAAATAGGAAGAAATGTTTATATAAACATAGGTCGACAAACGTCCCCTAAGGGCGCTACGGTCTTTTAAAGGGGCTACCCTGAAGATGGTTTTTCCTTAATATTTCCGAAGCGTGTTGAGATAAAGACATAAAATTTGGTATTCTAGCCTAGTTTTTTATGCTGGAAAAACCATCTTCAGGGTAGCAAATTTAAAAGACCGTAGCGCCCTTAGGGGACGTTTGTCGACCTATGTTTATATAAATTTTTCTTCCTATTGTAAGCTCTAGAAACCGCTGATACACTATTGCACACTTTTTTCGGGACACCCTGTATAATTGTCACAAAAAAAACAATTATATATTTTTTAGGGTTCGTTATTTGATTAACGATCATTTTTTATCATGCCGAAATTAGTCAATGGGATTCATAGCATATTAAAACAATTACTCATACAAATTAGATAATAGCGAAACGAGATTTTTTTTGTTTCGCAAAATGACCGTTCGCGTCTATTTTTTGCAGCAATACAGATCATCGGTGGCCTGCGTACTTTTCCACGGCGACTTGTTCGTCGATTCGTTCTTCCTGTTGAGCGGACTTCTGGTGGTGTACGTTCTGTTGAATCAGTTCGAGAAAAGGAGGGTGAACCCCGGATTCATCGTGCTTCTAAGATATATCAGGTAAGGCCTTAAAGGCACTGACAGTAAATCTTTTATCCATATCTAACACACGTTTATCAACGCCGTCATCAATTCATAAAGGATTGGACTCGGCACAAGTTGAAAATTGGTTACGGATATGTACAGTAGAGAAATTAAACGGATCAAGTCAGTCAAATAGGCGCATACAATAGGTATTCTTACCGATATTTAGTCAGACGCATATCGAAAACATTCCTCTATCTTTCTGAGTTTTAATGCATGGCTTATCGTGATGACACATGCCACATAACATCTAAAAACATCTGAAGGGTACCGGAGAAAAACGGCATTAGTTCATTATTTGGCTAAATTGAGCTTTCAGTTTATTTTGGTGGCATTTTTCTGATGCTATCTTGTAATAATATAAATATTTTGGACAATGATCCCATCACAAATGAATACTTGAATATCCTATCAAGTAACGGATTTCTGTCCTATATAAACCTACCTACAATGTCCATCAGTGGCACATGTATAGATCACTGCTTTGTGAAAGACCTATCCAACAAAATTACTTGTATACCAATAATCCTAGAAAGCGATATTACTGACCACTTCTCCACTATTTTACTGATATCTTCAAATGAAAAACATTCTAACATTCCTACCGTTAATAACAACCAGGAAAATTACAAATTTTTTGTCGACAATTCAAAACTAATATCAAATGTCAAACAAGAATCCTGGGAACAATTATACTCTATAAATAATATAGACAAAGCAACGGGACTGTTCATAGAGAAAATAAAAAAACTAATAGATATTAGTACCAATAAAGTAATAATTAGTCACAAAGAGAAAAGCAGAAATGCCTGGATTACCAAAGGATTAATAACATCGGCAATAGAAAAAGAAAGACTATATAATGTAATGAAACTAACGCCAACTACAGAGAATACCGACTGTTACAACCAATATAAAAATAAATTTATAGAGCTTGCAAGGCAAACCAAACGAAAACATTACCTAAATAAATTGAATAATAACTTAAATGATCCTAAGCGGCTTTGGACAACTATTGATGAGATTACTGGGAAAACAAAATTTAAAGAGTGTGTCACTGAGTTAAATACAACATCGGGAACAGTATTAAAAAATACTCAACAGATATGCGATGAATTTGTACAATTCTTTACTGACATAGGCGAAAATTTAGCAAGTAATATACAAGCAAATGTACAAAATACTCAGCCTCCAAAAAGAACTTTGAACTCATTTATTTTGGATAAAGTCGAACAATGTGAAGTATGTTATGTCCTTAAAAAATCGGAAAAGTCCTGGGTTCGATGGTATTAAAAGCGAGCATTTGAAAATTATAGCCGAGGACATAACAGAACCACTCACTTACCTAATCAACAAATGCTTTGAATCTGGCATATATCCCTCAATTTTAAAAAAGGTAATATAATACCGATACATAAATCAGGAACAAAAACAGATGTTAACAACTATAGACCAATATCAATAATATCCAGTGTAGCAAAGGTTTTTGAAAAAGTTTTATCTACTAGAATGATTCGATACCTCACAAAATTCAAAATTTTAAGTGAAAATCAATATGGATTTACAAAAGGGAAGGCTACATCGGACGCAATAACTAAAATTGTAAATCAAATACATCAAAATATTGATAACAGAATCCCTTCAATCTGCATTTTTGTTGATTTAAAGAAAGCTTTCGACACAGGTAATCACAAATTATTATTAGAAGCATTGGAGAGAATTGGTTTCAGAGAAAACGCGTACTCACTGATCGAAAGTTATTTGTCAAATCGCCCACAATCTGTGCAGATATCAGGATCATTTAGTAAAGAAATGTATATTAAGTGTGGTGTCCCACAAGGAACTGTCTTAGGTCCGCTGTTATTCAATATATATTTAAATGATATTTTTCAAATTAATTGTGTTGGCAAAATAACTAGTTTTGCAGATGATACTGCAATATTATATGAAGGCACTGACTGGTCTGATCTGAAAAATGTAATTGAAAATGATTTTATCAAAATTATTCGGTGGTTTAACAGTAGAAAATTAAGCATTAACTACTCTAAAACACATTTTTTACCATTTGGATCTTATGCTAGACATCTGCCAAATTACACAAATTTCTCCTTCAATATTAATGATCAAAAAATGCAAATTAATAGAGTGCTCAACATAAAATACCTTGGAGTGGTCTTGGATCCTCACTTACGATGGGACATCCATGTCAATTATATTTTAAAGAAAGTTAGAAAATTAAATACCTTGGGAATATATTGACAGAAATATATCTTCAAACATTATACCATGCACTGATTGAGCCTCATCTCACATATGGTATATTAGCATGGGGAGCTGCATGTTCCTCACATATCTATAATTTAGATGTTTTTCAAAAAAGTACTCTAAAAATGATATTTAAAAAACCGAAACTTTATCCCACTGAAAAATTATATGCAGATGTTCGAATGTATGATATAAGACAGCTTTATTTCTTACACAGTATCACTCACTACCATAAATTTGTAAACACCGACCAAAAAATTAAACATAATCATTATACCAGGTACAAAATTCGTGGCACAGTAGTTCCTCAACCGCATAAATCTATAATGCAGCGATCATATCTCTATTTAGCGCCTAAATTTTATGAAATTATACCTAAAGACTTAAAAGATTTACGTTTCGGAAATTGTTTCAAAAGAAATTTAAAAAAGTGGCTACATTCTATAGCTAGGACTGAAATTCATAAACTCATAAATACGAACATCAACAAAATACATAATCTACTGTAGCTAATTTTTGTCCTTTTTTGTCATTTGCATTCTACAGTTTCAACTTAAATTATTGGTCCATGTACAGGCGATGCCTTCTATTGGGCCTGTTTTGATTTTATATTTATTTACTCATATTGTTTGTTATCTTTGTACATTGAGTAAATAAATATTATTATTATAAAAAAAAAATCAGCTTCTTAAATTGTAACAAGGGCTTAGGTTCACGAAACAACAGCTATAAGATCCCCTGTGCCGGGGAAGAATGGCATGAGTCCATATGGAAAGGCGGCGCTTCGTTATTGAATCAGCCATTCGTTTACTATTAGAGTCCACGTGTGTTGTATACGGTGATATTTTAAATATTGACTGTATTCACTAATTTAGTTTATAAATACTGGTTTTGTGTATAATGGATAGTGACTATTCAGTTTCAAGTGAAAATGAACCAGGCCCATCGAACAGAGAAACGAAAAAACGTAAAGAACAGGAAGACAAAGAGACACAATGAAAACGTCGCGCGCCACTACCCACGAACTTGGTTCTGATTGTTTTGTGAACGTTTTCGCTGTTTTACTACTGTTCCTGAACCTGAACGTTGTAGACTTCTTCGTGAGTTTAATGAACTAGGATACACTAATGCACAAAACGCTTATCGTAGTGGTCTTATCTCTGTTCGTCCTGTCATGCGTAGACGCCTTCGAAAAAATGAAGCAGTCAACGCTTAAGGCGGCTTCGACGCAGTGAGTTTCAAGCCATTTACAAGGGTTCGTCGTCACTTTTTTTAAGTTTCCCTAAAAATTTTCGCTTAGCAACCTCCAAATCAATGTAGTTAATGTCACGTTTTCGATTGAATTCGCCATAAAACTATTCATTTCCTTTGGAATTGCTATCCAAATTGTTAGTTATTTTTATATCTGCTTTTTTTGGTCTGAGTTTCTTTTCAAGATTCTTGCGTTTGAGTCTTTGTTCCATCTTAGCGATAAGCGAGGTTGGACTAAGCTTAGAACGCAAATGTATTTAGACCACATATACAGGCCGCTGGGTACAGGGAACAATACTAAATGATCACTTGCTGAGTACCAAAATAAGAAACGATTTACATTCTAGATCGCTAATCGAAATCCGACTCTGTTATTATAAAAATTTACCTCGGTATGCACCGGCAGTCATCCTTTCCTCTTTTAAAGTAGCGCCGACGACAGTCTAAGGCCAGCCCACCCTCGTTTCCTTTTCAACCCCCCGTTACCTCAGCAGATGGTGCTCGTTATTGTAGGAGCCCCGTTAAATAACTATAACAATTACTATCGTTGCTTGACCGAAGCGTCAATCCGTGACCTAGGGCTTGATATGTCGGTGACAGTAATTGTAAAAATTTCAACAAACCTTTCATATCATAAACATTGTATCCTTCGCTAGTATGACGAACATGTCTCAGTATTAGTAATCGGATAGTATGCATTACTGCGCTGTAAACATTTCAAAAAATCTTTGTTATTTCGCGGTATTCGCTTCAATTTTATTATTCATAACAATAAAATATGCAATTATATATACGCTAATTATTGCCTATTATGTTTGTTTATTGTTTACTTTTCTAGAATCAATGGTAACACGTAGAAAAGCTTTTGTTAAATAACGTTACTAAGGGTTCCCATTATTATATGTACCGAGTAAATTTTCCATTCATGAATATAAATCGTAAATCCATTCTTGAGTTACGCGAAAACAAATCTGATCTCATTTTTGTTTTAATTTCCACGCCTACAGGGGAGGAAGTATTGTAATCGCGAAACATTTTGAAAATGAAGTATTATGTGTTTTACAAGACTACGAGCCCCTTTCTTATCAAACACAAATAATAAAAATGTAGCAGGGTTTTATAGGTTTAAAATATTAACAATGAATATTTTGATCATATATAGTAGAAAACACCAACTTTATCGTTCCCTAATCAGATTTGCAGCATAAAAATAACATTGCGCTTGGGTTGGCAGCACGAAACAGTAGACAAAATTCGTCCAAAATACAATTTGTAGAGGTTTGCGCGCTTCGAAATTGACGCGTTATTTTTTGATATTTTTGGATGAAATTTTCACAGTGTGCTGAAAACAAAACTCCACAGGGTGCTATAGAGCCACTTTTTCATTTTTTTAACTAGATTCTTTTTAAAAAAATCGCGAAGTTGAACAGAAAAAGTGCGCACTTCAACCCATCATAAAA